TTTGTCTTGTTTGGGTTTTGGGTTGGGCCTTTGTTATTAGGTCTAGGTATATATAGTGTTATTTTAGCCTTGGAAGGGGTGAGAGATGTTTTTGTGTGACTCCATAAGCCAAGAACACGTTCTAGAGAGAAACAGAGAGAAAACCAAGTGTAATCCGAATCTTATGTACTAGAGTATCATTGAATATAGTCTGCATTGAAGATTCATCTTGTGTTCTTTGTTCTATATCACGTTTTGCATTAATCACTAGATTAGGATTCCGCACCAATTCTAGTGAATCCGGTTGATACGTCGCGATTTGGGGTTTTACAATTGGTATCAGAGAAATCTTTCTTAAATGTTTTCTTTCGTAAGTGTTTTTAGGAAGTGATATGAAGTTTAGTGTTAAAGGGCAATCTGAAATTCGTGTAATGCACTGAAACTAAATTTTTTAGACTCTGTATTCAATGTGCTGGTAGGCACGAAGGATTAAAAAAAGGACTAGACACTGCTGACAATGAAAGGACTTGACAGTGTTAATTCATCTAGACTTAGATGGTTACATTTGGACTGACCATATGACGCTTGGATAGATTGAGCAGTGAGATAAACAGGGGAGCCTGCGAGATACATTAAAGTTACTTATCATCTAGAACTGTGGCTCAACACTTCTTCGACATACGAACTTATGTCCTTAATTCAGGTGCTGATAGGGTGACTGGGGGGTTCTGATAAAGTAGGTCTGTGTGAAATTGTTTTTCTTTCTTATCCTCTCTGTCAGTCATATGTTGCCCCCTTTGCGTGATCGGAAGGTCCGACCTGGGACGCAACATATGCTTCTCTATTTCTATGCATCTCTATCTATGCTTTTCTCTATCTATCTATGTCAGTCACATGGTGTCCCCTCTGCGTGATCGGAAGATCCGACCTGGGACACATCATATGCAACTTTCTATTTCTCTAGCCCTCTATCTATGTTAGTCATATGTTGTCCCTCTGCGTGATTGGAAGAGATCCGACCTGGGATACAACATATGCATCTCTATATCCATCTTCTCTCTCAAATAATTGATCACTCACCTAAATTAAAGAGCTCTTTGGAACTCCTTGATTGCTAGGGTATGTCGTGAACTGGGGAACACGTTCTAGTGCACTTAAATTTGAATTGGTTCATGATTAAAGGTTGTATGTAGATCTCACTGCTGAATTTCAGTGGACAACAATACCCTTGGTCGTCGTCAGCAAAATGGTCTATATAGTGTGCATTGAAGATTTATCTTGTGTTCTTTGTTCTATATCACGATTTGGGGTTTTATAGCATGCCGCCTAATGTAACATACACAAAATTCATGAAAATTTTAAACTTTTTGACAAACCCAAAAACCATCATTGTTTACTAATTGTTTCCAAAATGAGTTCAATATCAGAGTAATCCCAAAATCATAAAACAAAACATGAGGATATGCACGATCATGCCTTCGCCTTACCGCGATCCTATGAGGTACCTGAAACATAATCCAAAACTATAAGCCCAAAGCTTATTGAATTCCCCCAAAATACCAATACATAGCCAATAGCACAAGCATAATAACAACATACTATGGGCCCAATCAACCATCGGTTTGGAATACCCCAGGCCCGTCAACCATCGGGTTGGAATGCCAACATACTATGGGTCCAATCAACCATTGGGTTGGAATACCCCAGGCCCCTCCACCATCGTGTTGGAATACCAACATACTATCGGTCCAATCATCCTCGGGATGGAATACCCTAGGCCCTCAACCATTGGATTGGAATGCCCCAGCCTGTTGGTTTACGCACAAAGCAGTGAAGCCTCAGCCACCAACCAATCATGTGCATATAATACAGATAACCATACTATTAACCAGCTAGTAAACAAATAGACAGATCTTACAGATCACTAAGCATAGCTTCATCCTATCTACCAGGATACTGATCTAACAGATCACTATAGCATAACATGCACAACAGAATATCAATCCAAGGGCCGATATTGGTGCCTTCGACCCGAAAGTACAGTGAGGAAAAACTCACCTCACACTGATGAATCGCACAGAAAACCTCCGACTGCTGGCCCACTAAACTCCCAAACTATCACAACAAATAAACATCCAATTAATAATTGATCACCGCCCTTGACTAATTACCCAAACTTAGGGTAAATGGACACTTTACCCTATCCAAAATTGAGCAAAGACCTAGGCCCAAATCTTGATAAAAAAGCCTAAAATTATACAAGGCCCGTCGTTGGCCAAATTTTCCAAATTGGGCCCATACTCCTTTTTGGGCCTTATCCTAAGATCCAATTAATCACTTGGCCCAAAACACTCATACTCAGATAGACCAATAAGGGCCCAATCATTCAAGCCCAAAAGGTGGCCCAAAACTTGAAGCTCAAAGTCCAAAGTCCAACAGAAGGCGTACGCTGTGTGTACACCACCTCGCATTGACCCACAACGGGGTGGCTGACCGAGTACATGGGGCGTACTTCTCCTTACGCGGAGCATACCCTCGCAGAGTCCAAAATCACAATAAGTGCTTAATGGATTAAGCACTTAAGTCCAAACTTCAGATGCATGGTCCAAATGCACCTTAAAGTCATAAAGTCTCAAAATTTATGACTTTAGACGTCAAAAAAGTCCTTAATACATGGTCTTAATCCATTACGACCTTCCATAAGAAGTATGGAGCCAAACTAGCTAAAGGGACCTCATTTTTATGGCTTAGAACCCTTCCTAGGGTTTGAAAGGACAACCCAAAACATCCAACACCAAACATGCACAACAATGGAAATTTTTGGGACAAAAGAACACCATAAAGCTACCAAGATGAGATTTAAGAAAACCAAGCATAAAGGTAGCAACTTTTTACCTTCTGGAGCTTCCCAAGAAGATGATGATCCAAGATCCACAAGCTTGCTTTCCCTTCTAGACTCCTTGATGCACTTCCTTCTCCTTTAAGTACACAAATAACACACTTTAAGCTCAAAACACTATCTTATGGGGTTAGGGTTTTCTAAGAACGACTCAAGGGCTTGGAGGCTGAAAGGGTGAGGCTAAATGATCCATAAAGGTGTTTAAATACTCCTCAAACCCTAAAAATTAGGGTTTCACCCGGACATTAGTACGCCCACATGTACGCCCGACGTACTACTCCTAGGGAAACAATTGCTTGTGATAGAACACTGGTAAATTTGTATGAACCTATTAACTACAAGGAAGTGATGATAGTCCCTAAGGCTGCAAAATGGAAAGAGGATATGGATAACGATATCCAATCCATGTATGATAACCAAGTATGGAACTTGGTTGATCATGAACCTGGTCGAAAGATAGTAGGTTGCAAATGGATCTTCAAGAAGAAGACCGACATAGATGGAAAGGTACACACATTCAAAGTTGGACTGGTTGCGAAGGGCTTTACTCAAACACAAGGGGTTGACTATGATGGGACCTTCTCACCAATGGCTAAGATCATATCGATCAAGATTATGCTTGACACTACTGCCTTTTATGAGTATAAGGTATGGCAAATGGATGTTAAAACTGCTTTGCTACATGGGAAGTTCACTGAGAATGTCTACATGAGTCAGCCAGAAGGTTTTATACATTCCAAGTAACCTAATAGAGTGTGTAAGCTTGAGAAATCCATTTATGGATTGAAACAAGCATCTCGCAGCTGGAATCTTTGCTTCCACGAGAAAGTCAAAGAGTTTGGATTCTCTAGGAGTGATGATGAGTCCTGTGTGTACATCAAAGCTAGTGGGAGTATAGTAACTTTCCTAGTGTTGTATGTTGATGACATACTCCTTATAGGAAACGGCATTCCAACCTTACAAGAAGTGAAATCTTGGCTTGGTAAGTGTTTCTCTCAGAAGGATCTAGAGGAAATGACATATATCCTTGGGATAAGAATTTTGAGGGATAGAAAGAGACGTCTCATTGGTCTTAGTCAGAGTACATACTTGGAAAAAATATTGAAGCGTTTCAATATGGAGAACTCCAAGAAAGGGGATTTTCCCATTCAATGTATTGTTAAATTGAGTAAGACTCAAAGTCCCAGTATTGAGGAAGAAATAGATGACATGAGTCGATTCCCATATGCTTCAGCTACAGGATCGATCATATATACAATGACATGTACTATCCCTAATGTGTCTTATGCATTGAGCATGGTTAGTCGATTTCAGGGTAATCCAGGCAGAGCCCATTGAAAAACAGTCAAGAATATTCTCAAGTATTTGCGATGAACAAAAGACATGTTTCTAGTTCTTGGGGACAACGCTACATTGAGAGTGAGTGGATATAGTGACGCCAACTTTCAAACAGATCGTGACAACTATTGTTCTCAATCTGGTTGGGTATTCTTATTGAATGGTGGATCGGTGACTTGGAAAAGTTCCAAGCAGTCAACGATGGATTATTTTAATTTTGAATCAGAGTACATCGTAGCGAGTGAGGCATCAAAGGAAGCGGATTGGTTAAAGAATTTGATCGTAGATCTCGGAGTATTCCCGACCATTCAAGAGCCAATATAACTCTTTTGTGATAACGAAGGTGCGGTTGCTTTGACCAAAAAACCGAAAGACATGTTAGGTCTAAGCATATCGACACAAAGTGTCACTACATCAAACATAGGGTTGAAGATGGACATCTCCTAGTGAAACGAGTGTCATCAGAAGATAATCGTACAAATCCTTTCACGAAGGCTCTGAGCAGGGTAAAGCACAACCAACATCCTAAGAGCATTGGCTTAAGAGATGATATTAATTTTAGTAGTTAGTTGATAGTTTGAAACTTTGTAACAAAACAAATGTGATTGATTTTTGGTGAATGAATAATAGAGAATTATTTATAAGTATCGGTACTGCCTTCTTCAATTATTTATTCTTGTGTTTCACTTTACATGTTTACTTCTAGAGTAATTTGATTATTCAAAATTCCACAGTCGCATATACTTTTGGAAGTAAGTAATGATTTTAAGATCAATGAATAGATCTATTTACTTGTATGACTTATATGTCTCGTATTTCTCGAAAAAGTGATTCGATTGATGGGATTTGGTATGATACTTATGAGATCGATGATATCGATGAGATTTATATTCACATATTTCTTCTTAGAGCGTATTGATTTGACCCTATAAGCGGGACCACCACCCAATAGCATGTTGCCACCTAGAGAATCTCCTAATTGTTTCAGAGCAACTAGAAAGAGATTCTTTAACCAGAAAGATTTCGGTTCAGATGTAGGATACCTATCCAGAAGTTTTCGCAGCTCAATCATAGATGATGGAATCATCAAAGATTTGACCTTTTCAAACTCTGTCTGTAACTCACTAGAGGCCCCGAAAACAAAGAGAAGACATGTACAAGCGAGATATGCAGCAACAAGAAGAAGGAAAAGGATTGCATAGAGGAACTCCCGAACATTTGTTAGATGTGTCGATATCAATGGTGACTCATTATTTCGATGAATCATTTCTTCGGACAGAAGAAGATTATCCAAACACTTACTCAAAATCTCACTTATCAGATTCCTTTGTGGAACACATAATTTTTTCTGAAGAATTCGCCATGATATATTTGATCCATGCATAATATCATGAAAAATGGATACAAATTTTTGATTGCTACTTAGTATCGGCAATAGGTCTGAAAAAGTATCTAAAAATAAAAACTTTAGATATCTGTACCCTGTCGAAGTAAGGAACCATGGCATATATGTTTGGAATAGATTCCATTTTGAGAGAGTTGAATAAGCACTATCTCGTTGAAAAGTTCTATACATCTGCCCTTTCTCAACACATTTCTTTAGACAAAGACTCCGTTTTTTCCTCTTTTTGGATGGTAAATATTTCTCATAACATGGAGTGTGAATCAAACCCATGTTTGAATTGAAATTGAGATACTGATATAAGTTCTTCCCTTCTGAATCAGATAGATTCATATCTGAAAGTGGTTGACAATAAGTTCTTTCAAAATTGACTATTTGTCCCTCTGTTAGAGGTGTTCCAGAAATGTCTGCGATCGAGTAAATAACTCTACGAACGAATGGATTGGATCGACTTGGAAAATGGAAAGATTTGTACAAGTTATATGTTTCGTCACCACTTTGGGTCGTCGCTCTGCTGCGTCTGGCCCGTCCTCTAGGCACCTTTGGAAGGCAGGGAGTATGAAAACGTACACGCTTCCCTTTACTCCATACCATAGGGCCTTTTCATCAGTTGCAGGGTTTGGTGGCCCGAAATTGACTTGGCTTCGCCAAAAGGCCTCATCTCTAAAAGCCCGAATCGCGAGGCGTCCCTCTCGCAGTAGAGTTCCAAACCTCGCCTCGCTCTTGTGACATGCTATGTTTCCCCTCTCTATTCCCAAGTAAAGGGTGAGTCCCATGCATCAGTTCATGAATCGAATGGAGATTGTTCATAGATATTGGACATTGCATGGGAGTTCTACAATATTCATGAGTACTTTGAAAATAGAGATTTTAAGTATTGGATAAACCCACGCTTAGAGATTACTTCATGGATTCAATCATGAGTAATTATATGTAACACCGGGTTCATGGTATGATTTTATTTAAGTTTTTTATTCTTAATTTTGCCACGAACTCGGCGAGTCTGCGTCCCGACTCGCCGAGTAGCAGCAGGGTGGACACGGGTTTTGAGCGGTGAACTCGGCGAGTCGATGCATGGACTCGGCGAGTCCACCTGTCTGGATGAAGCTCTATTTTCAGACATTTCACCCCATGTTACCCATTCTAAAACACCCATTTCGTCCCATTCTCTTCCAAAAGAACTGTAGAGCAAAACCCTAGCCCATTTTGATCCTTGTGAGTGATTTTGGCTTGGTGAAGGAAGCTTGAAGCTTAAGAGAAGAAGGAGGAAGTTGGAGGGTGCAAGGAAGTGTGGTAGATCCGAAATCTACCCTGGGAGAAGCTCCTAACCAGGTAAGAAAGCTCCTTCTTAATCTTTAGTATAATAGATTCCCTTTTTGTCCCTTATATGTGGATTTCAAGACCTTAAACCTCCCAAACTCCGTGTGTTTATACCCTAGGAGCTTAGATTTATGGGTTGGAACCATTGCATGTCTCAGTTTTGGCCAGAATGGGTGAAGAGTCGAAGGGTACTCGGCGAGTGCCAAAGTGCACTCGGCGAGTTCCATGAAAATGGCCTTAGACTCAGCGAGTTGGATAAACAACTCGGCGAGTCCTATGGAGATTGCCTAGTACTCGGCGAGTCGTTCTTCAAACTCGACGAGTCCCTTGAATATAGCCTTGAACTCGACGAGTTGTTCTTCCAACTCGGCGAGTCATATGATCAGTCACTAGGATAAGAAGGGTTTAAGTGTAGGAGGTCCAACCCTCCGTAGTCGCACGTGGAATTAGCAATTTAACGTGTAGCTATAGTCCCAGAATCTCCAAATCTCCAAGGTTGATGTTCTGATGGAAGATTGGAGCGATTTGCGAGATCTGTTCGTCGGACTCGGCGAGTCACCCCCTTGGACTCGGCGAGTCCAGTCGCGGGTTTGTTAGTTGTCCCCGTCTAGCGAGTCAGGTTGACTCAGTGAGTGGGAACAGGGACCCGATGAGTCAGAGTCGGGCTAGACATAGAAGGACTTGGCGAGTCGTCATATGGACTCGGCGAGTCCAGTCAATCAGAAGGTTGACTTTGACCAAGGAGTTGACTTTGACCGGTCATTTGACCTTAGGGGTATTTATGAGTACCTAATCCATGTTTACGGATTTATAGCCGGAGGGATTACCGGTGCGGCAGCCAGGCGTAGTCTGAGCAGGTTTTCGGCAGCTACTCTCGAGGTGAGTTTCCTTCCTGTAGGGACGGGTCTAAGGCACCAAGGTCGGCCCGTATAGACGATTTGTTAGTATCGGAGTGTGGGCAGAGCCCGTATCTCATAGCTGAGTTTAATTGTGATATATGCCAGTATGATAGAATTGCTTATACTTGTTGTCTGTGTGATACTTGTATGTTATGGTTAGTGGCAGAGTGTGGGCGAGGCCCGTATCTCTCAGAAAGTAGAGTGTGGGCGAGGCCCGTATCTCCTAGCTAGTAGGGTGTGGGCGAGGCCCGTATCTCTATGGGTGTGGGCGAGGCCCGTATCTCTTAGCTGTTCATTATATGATTGCATGGTATGTGGCATTATGGGGGAACTCACTAAGCTTCGTGCTTACGTTTTATAGTTTTGTTTTCAGGTACCTCTTCAGCTAGGGGACAGGAGCCGGCGCGGTAGCGGCATATCACACACTCTCATGTTTTCCGCACTATGGATTTTCTGGGATGTACTCTGAATATTTTACTATTATGTTACCGGTTCTCAGACATAAATTAATATTATGAATGTTTTGTAACGATGTTTTTATGAATTAACCTAATTTAAAAATGAAATTTTTAGCTGGTATTTTTGGGATGTTACATTATAGGACGATAATATCTTCTATTCTTCAAAAAGAGATACATAAGTTGTGATTTACAAGTCGGTTGTACATTGGTGCTTGCGAAAATGCATCAGTAACATGATGTTATAAAACGTAGTATCATGTATGATTTGGTGAGTAAAGGTCCCAGATATGTAGTCAAAGTTTATTCGTTCCTTTTTCCTTAATGGTAAAAGCAATATCTTTGGGCCCCTTGGTGATTTGGTGTTGACATTATAGTGTTGGTCCCAACCATGACTAAATTGATGTGTTCAATTAAGTAGTCTAATGACGTCATCACAAATCGGGAAATCGGGAAAAAGAATTTTGGACAATGAGATTGATTGGATTCCATGTCTCGTGTCCATACGATATATTGAAGAACGAATGAATAATTGATCACTTATCTTAGGGCCAATGTCTGATTTTAATCAGAGTTTGGCAGTTACTTCGGAAAGCACACTTTGTTGTTTGGTTCAAGGTTATACTTGCAATTGTAGTTATAGACTTATCCAAGTGGGAGACTGTTGGGTTAAGGTGTCTAAGCTCATAATTAAAGAAGCAAAGTCCTTTTTAGGTTGCCCTCATAACTAGTAACCGAATAGAATGACATTTAAAGAGAGAGGATAATTTATTAATATATTATATGATTAATATATTAATTGGAAATACTAATAATTAATTAAGAATTAATCAAAATTAATTTGGATTTAATTATGGGTTAATTAGAATTAATTAATTGTGGGTTAATTAGAATTAATTACAGGTGTGAGGACTTAAGTTGTAATTGTTCAAGAGTTGAACAAGAAAGGATTCCAGAACCTTCCTTGAAGGGACGATTTTGAGGAGTCCCAATTAGGGTTTCTGGAAGCCTCCTAAAGATAAGGAAACTGGATAACCACCCAGATTTGAAATATTGTTATTATATTCAAGATTAGGGTTTCCAGGGTTTTCCTATAAACTATAAATACCACCCCTTGGGTGCTTATTTTCTCCCACCACTTTTATCAAAAGGATGACCAATTTTATCCTTCTCTCATCCTCTCTCCTCTTGTCTTCTAGTTGCTAGGGTTTGGGTACAAACCATTAGAGGCACTAAACTTTTGGTGCTTGCTTTTTGAAGTGCATAGGAAGGAATCAAGAGATCTATTTGTTATAGTAGATCTAAAGGTATGTAAACCCTAATTCCTTGTTTTCGAATTTTGCTAGGGTTCATGTTAGTTTTTTTATTCACAGTATGTTGCCTTCAAAGTGTTGAGACATAGATCATTTTAGGTTGCATGTTCTCTTCTTAATTGTTAAGTGATTTTCCGCATTGTGCATATTGCTGTAATCTGAAAATTCCATCATGTAATTGTTTTATATTTATTTTTGTACACACCTTATTTTGAAATCAAAGAAAGATATTTTTTTATCAATGTTGAGTGTTGAAATTAATGAAGTTGATATATAGATACTGGTGTAATTTAATGTGAAATTTAATAGAGAAAATGAAATTAATGAAGGTGAGCTGACACTTTGACCACGCCTTGGTTAAATATCGGGCAGAAGGTATCATATTCTTTATAAACCCACCATAGAAGCAACTTCTTCTTTTCATTTTCTTAAGTTTTTCATCAAGACCTGTTAGCTTCATGGCTCCAATTACCAAAACCACTCTTTTAATTTCACTCCTAGTACTTCTTTACACATGCTCAGGTATTACATTCTTCATTTCATGATAATTATATTAAATTACTTGTATCTAAGTTTTCCTTTTGTCGTGTATATATAGCAAATGGCATCCGTGATGTTGTCTTCTCTAACGGTGTCATGAACCCACTCGGGCGGAAGCTTGCACTGGTTGATGCGATGGTAGACGATTACAACGATCCAGGTGCCAATCCCAAGCATGATCCACGGAAGGGCGGTGGACATGGCCCACCGGCTAGCACATGATAAACTATCGTAATAAGGAAAATAAAGCGTGTTGGATAACGTTGTTATAATACATAAGAATCAGGATATACAGGTTGTTTAGTATGTTCTGACATCTTTAGAGGACGCCTAAGATCTATAAATAATTCTTTTTATTATCTGAATTACTTTAAAAAGATATATCATACATTTTGGACAATCCAAAAAAACAAACTAACGACGTCACTCGTCAGTAAGATGTTGTGGTCACAAAATATCAATAGATGGAAACAATATATGTTGAATGCGTGTTGTATCTATGCAGATATTGGGAGTTTCAGTTTCTAAACGAAGCATCGATATCCCACAAATGACACAATTCTGATGGTACTAAATGCTTAAAGACAGTTTAATTTGTTTTTGTGTAGGTAAATTTTGTCAATCCATATATATCCCTATCACCAATATTCCCTAATTTCAGTCAAAATATAATAGTACAAAATCAAATGTCGAAGGTTGCAGTCCTATTTGAAACAAAAGATGTAGAATTCATTGTAAAACAGTAGACGTGTGATTTAGCAGTTTTAAACACAATAAAATCAAATTTAACTGAAATATTTTCTAACCTTAGAAATTAAAAACTAAAAACATGACATCTATGTATCTTTATTAATGACTACAAATGACTAAAAAGAAAATCATAACAAAAAAACTATTATATTTTAAGAAATCATTTAATATGGTCTTTAGTTTTAACTTTTGTATTTATTTATAATAAAAAGAAAAGGAAATTCTCTAGAAAATACTTATTATTTTTGGAAAATTAACGCTTGAGTCCAAAATTTATTTATTTTTTCAATTGAAAAACTCAAGAAACTGACAAATTTCTTTACTTTAGCCCATTTTGACCTGTTTAGCAGGTCATAAGACCAAATCGTTATTTTTCCAAAATAATGAGATTTTTCTACAGACATCCTCAAAATTTGTATATAATGTATAAACATATTTTTTATGTATTTATATGTATTTTCTAGGTATTGTTACGTGTGTGTGTGTATATATATATATATATATATATATATATATATATATATATATATATATATATATATATATATATTACATATTTATGTATTTTTTAAGTTTTTTAAATTTTCTGTTTAGTTTGTTTTCACGTTTTTTTATCTATTTTAAATGTACAAACGTATTTATATAAATTTTGAAGTATTTTTTACATACTTTTATGTATTTTGGTTTCTTCATTTACAAGGTCTAATAGTTGGTTAAAAATGAAACTTGAAGTAAAAAAGATACTTTTATAAATATAGTTTATTCATTTACAAGGTCTAATAGTTAGCTAAAAATGAAACTTGAAGTAAAAAATACATAAAAACATAAATATATATATATATATATATATATATATATATATACTTAAAAATACATATAAATACCTTAAAAATACTTATATATATATGTGAAAAAATATACCAAAATTTAAAAAATATGTAAAAATACTTAAAAATTCATATATATATATATATATATATATATATATATATATATATATATATATATATATATATATACACACACACCTAAAAGATACATTGGTACATTTAAAATACATAAAAAAAAACGTAAAAAACAACTATATAAAAAACTTTAAAAATATATATAAATATATAAAAAAATATAAAAATACTTAACAAAATACGTATAAATACGTTTATACATTATATATAAATTTGGAGGAAATTTGTCAAAAAGTATAATTATTTTGGAAAAATTAACGATTTTGTCTCATGACCTGTTGAACCGGCCAAAATAGATTAAATTGAAAAAAGTTGCTGATTATTAGGCTTCTCTATTAAAAAAAAGGACTTAATCGTTAATTTTATCTGAAAATTTTATAATAGAAAAATAGTTACACTTACAAACGAAGACAAATCGTCAAAAAAATCCAACCCATTTTAAATAGAAACGAAAGTTAGCTTTTAAAGTTAAATCAAAAATTGAAAAAAAAAACAATATACAATTTTTTTTATATTTATATATGTTTCATGTTCTGTATTTATAATACCTATATTTAATTTTATAGTGTTTAGGTTTTATTGTAATTTCCAATTCAACTTAATGATAATTATAGTTTTATATAAATTAGTTTGTTTAAATAATAATAATAATAATAATAATAATAATAATAATAACAACAACGATGACGACAAAAATAAAATAATAATAATAACAACAACGATGACGACAAAAATAAAATAATAATAATAACAACAACAACAACAATTTGTTGCATGAACCCCTCCCCCCCCCCCCCCCCCCCCCCCCAAAAAAAAAAAATTAGATTGAAAAAAAATATAGTTTTTTATTTTTATATGTTTTATGTTTTGTATTTTTAATTCCTTTGTTTTATTTTCTAGCGTCTAAGTTTTACAATAATTTTCATTTTGTAATATCGTTTTCCCAATTTCATGTTATGTACTTCATTAAAATCATTTGTTTGTGAATTTGTCAAATCTGAGGCATTGGTGTTGGTCACGGTGCGATTGTTTAATGAAAGTCGCGGTGTGATGTGCCTTATGCATGACACAACTTAGCTTATGAGTGAAACCCTAATTCTCGGCCTTTGGGCCTTATTTAAGGGCTCTAACTCCTAGGGTTACCCTAATTTTAGCAAAGTGACTTCATTTCTGGACCATTGTGAGTATAAAGCTACAATATTTGCTTCTAGTTTGTTAGATCCAGCTCATGGTCCATTTTTATAATTTTTGTCCCTTTTGGTGGCATGTTTGGAGTTGAGATAACTCCATCCCCTTCTAAGCTCTAAGGATTGTCTTTTGGACCTTGTTTTGTTGGAAAGTTGGTAGCAAAATCTTGTCCTTGGAACCATGCATGTTTTGTGAAGGATTTATGCTATTTTAGACTTAGGGTTGTAGAGCTTGCTTTGGTGAGAGGTCCTAATGGATAAAGTTGAAAACTTTATCCATTAGATCTGAAGTTTTGAGCCTTGATCTGTAAGGATTAAACTCTTAATGAAGAATTAAGGAATTTGTCATCGACCACATCGTGGACAAGGAATGACCATGGCGAGGTGGAGTCCAGCTTCGCGCTTGTTTTGTCCAGACATGCCCATGACGTCGCCAAGGAGGATCCACGATGTGACGATGTCCTGCAGGTCATTTATTTTGTCCTGTCATGCCCACGACGTATCCAAGAGGTCTCCATGTTGTGGTGGTTGTTGACTTGGTTGCCCACTGACTTTGTTAACCATTGATTGTTGACTTTTGTCCAGTTTTACTTGGGGTCAAACTTGGAGGATTTGGATTGTTGATTGAGGATTTATCTCTTTTGGTGTTAACCGATTCGCAGGAATGAACAGTGCAAGGTGTAAGAGTGTTGTTGTGCTTCTTCGGTTCTTCAGCTCGGGTGAGTTTCACACTATGTCATGTATCCACTTGCATATCCTTTTCATGGTATGATAGAGGTACTGTTAGAGTACAAGCATGCTAGTTAACTAGGATAATTCATTTTTATGCATGTGTAGTGTAGGACACTTGGTGTCATGGTATGCTAGACCGGTAGCGTCTTGACTGTTGATCATATGAGACTGTTAGGAGTTACGTTTGGTTAGGGTAACTAGGGAAGGCCAGTTATCAGGATTATGTAAGTATGACCAATGAATGACTTAATTGAGAAGTGGTCAATGGTAGGGTAACTAGGGAATGCTAGTTTCCAAGGAAATGTAATATGCTACTTTATGTTATGTGTTATGTTACATGATTATGTGGTAATAATAGCATTGGTTCTATGTAGTTTAAGTTGGATAGCCTGAGAACTCTTGGTCTAATGCTTTATTGTGATGTTCGTGTCTAATTGTTCACTCTCGGGTGGATCATATGTTCGACTGTCGATCTGATCCTTGACTATATATGACTTCATAAATTGTATGAAAGATCAGGATTTGGCACTTGACAATTATACAAAAGACCAGGATATGGCCCCTAGCAATCGTATGGAAGACTAGGATCTGGCCCCTAGCAATTGTATGGAAGACTAGGATCTGACCCTGGCACTTGTACAACTAAAGACCATGATCTAGCCCATGGCAGGAAGTGGTGGTAAGACCATGATTTGGCCCATGGAAAGATGTGACTGTAAGACTATGATGTGGCCCATATCATTCACTTGGGGTTGGAATGGACCCATTACTTCATATATAATTGTTATGTATGTTTTATGTATGTTGATAAGAGAGTGGTCAGGTCGGCATTAGAGTCGAAAGCTTGTGTGGATGCATTGTACATATGGTGGAATATGTGGTATAGTGGGGAACTCATTAAGCTTTATACTTACACTTGTAGACTAAACATTTTGCAGGTTATTTGTGAGAAGATTTCGAAGGAACTGTACATACGCATCGAAGACATTCGTTTCTGTAAGTTCTATGAACTTACTCTAATAATATATGGTTTTCAATCAATCAAATGTTATTCAATGGTTTTTGAAACTAAAAGGTTTAATTGGTTGATTTATTGTAAAGTTAAAAATATTTTTGTAATTTTTAGGACGTTACAAAATAGACCTGGTGGGTTGAAACATACATGTTTCGGTTGAAACAACCATGTTAGGTTGAAACATACTCGTTCGGTTGAGACATGCCTTTTGGGTTGAAACATACCCGTTCAGTTGACATAGACATGTTGGATTGAAACATACCCGGTAGGTTGAAATAAACTAGTTGGGCTGAAACACACTTATCCGGTTGAAACATACATCTTGGGTTGAAACTGACCCATTACTGTTATGTGTGGTTATCTATGATGTATGTGATATTTTGGAGAATTCACTAAGTTTTGTGCTTACAATTGTGGATTAAAAATGTTTTATCAGATCGTGGAAAGGCGAAGGCGTAGCTGTACACACTCATCAACAACTTTATGTTTTGAGATTTCACGTTTATTTTGTTATACTTTGATTTTGGGATTTTGACCTATTGAACAAATGACTTTTAACGATATTATGATTTA